TGCCCAGCTCCGGAGCTGATCCATACCTGACCGGCTGGAAAGGAAGGTGTGTAGCGTTGGTGTTTTGTGTTCGATTTCTTGGCGCTCGGCGCGGGGTCTCTTTTGGCTGGCCCCGATTTTTTTTTTCCAGAGGGGAATATCATGCCTGATCAAATGATCTAATAAAATGTTAATAGTGCACTTCAGCTTTCTGTTATGTGTGTGTCTCTTGTGTATTAATCAGAGTCCAGGTTTATGGTTACTAGGATAGGCTAGCGCAGAGATCTCCAAACTTGCCAACTTTAAGAGTTGTGGACTTCAACTCCCAGAATTCTCCAGCCAATTATGCTTTGCTGGCTGGAGAATTCTGGGAGTTGAAGTCCACACTGTGCTAGTTACAGGACAGCCCTTGACCGTCCACCCCTGCCTCCATTAGCTGGACACGTAAGACGCTGCCGTAGTCTGCCCCAAAAGCCTTGAAAAGCATTCAAACTCCTGTATTAACGAACCAACACTGGCTGAAGTTTTATTACCTCCAAACATTTTTTACACGTAAAAAAAAAAATACAGTTAGGAAATTAAATTAACAATGAATAATACCTTAAATATTTTGCTATCAACTTCTGCATTTTGTACTTCTTAAAAATTAGCCTGTTCCCAGTTCAGGAATAGCACCACACTCTTATAGGAGAAATCTCAAAGCAAAAACACTTCGCACCGGGGCCAACGCAGAATAAATAAACCACCTGCAACTGGTGGCCCTTTACAATAAAAACCAATTTTTTTGTGTGTGTGTCTTAAGAGAAACCCCGCAAAAGTCTGGTTCTGGGGGGTTTAAAGCAGGCAAAAAAGCAACGACCACGTCAGCACCGGAAGCCTCTTGATCCAAAATAGTGAGTTTGGGGTTGTGGTTACCTTGATAACATGTGCAAAGAAGGCCCTGCCAAATAAAAGTTTCTTCAGGGCGTGGGAAAACCTGTCTATTTTCCATTTTAGCTGCTGAATAAAAAAAAGCAACAGGGCCACTAGAGTATCCAGGAATGGTGTCACTCAACTCTTTTAAGTTCAGTCTCCCTGGGGAAGTTTTCAGAGACGCCCAACACTTTAGGACAGGGGTGTCCAACCTTGGCAACTTTAAGACTTGTGGATTTCAACTCCCAGAATTCCTCAGCCAGCTTTGCTGGCTGAGGAATTCTGGGAGTTGAAGTCCACAAGTCTTAAAGTTGCCAAGGTTGGATTAGGACATTGCAAGTCAGATACTTGACTGGCCCTTAAAAGGCCACCTGTTTCCTGACCTTGTTAGACCACTGGGATAATCTTGTCTGCCTATTCTCCAAGCCACCCTTTTTTTTTTTGCCCAATCTGCTTCGCTCCAGCCTACTGCTCCAGCGTCCTTCATGGGCCATCTTCTTAACCTCCCCCCCCCAAACTCCAGCCTCACTTGCTCCAAAATGCTTCCCAAAACTGGCACTGATCCAACAGACCAGAAATTCTATAGGTTTTATTTTTTCATATTAACGTTTGGGGATTCTGCGCGGTAATAGCTTATCTTTTTTATACTGGAAGCAATTATGATACGGAATCCCCGAACATGAATACGAAAATGAGATATTTAAGAAAATTTTTTTTTAAAAAAAAAAACTTTGGGATAACCCACAACCCACAACAAAATACGCCGTTCGGCTTTCGAACGAAGGCAGAACCATCAGAAATAAGCGCGGACGGGGGCGCCATAGTGATACCACGGACGCAAACCAGCAGATATTGGCTTCCATCATATCTCAGCGCGTTGTGTGTAGAAGGAACGCAATACAAGTAATAGGACACAGGTCAAAAGCAGATCCGGGGAAGTAGTTACCCAGGCCTCTCAACGCCACATTTTTCTCGCTTAGGAAAGCACAAATCGAATTGCAAATTTAGCAGGCGATGCACCAGCCCAAAATGGAGGACTGTGAGCAAGGCAGGGGCCTTAAAGCGTGTGAAGTTGGGCGCTGCAACCGTCGCCCTTGGATGCCTCCGCAGTTGCGTTGACCTTGTGACACCCTGCACCCTTCTGTGTTTCCCCAGGGCGCCTGCACTCTGAATCGACCAAGGCTCTCCTGGCCTTGTCAAGCCATCTGCTCACCAACCGGGTTGGGAGAACGATGCTCTTACGCATCAGCTGGACTTTGCAAGAGCGGCGAAAACATCTGGACTGGACAATCCCCCCCCACATGACACCCCTGAAGCGCAAACGTGGGTCTAGCCAGGCGTTGCCCAAGATCAGTTATCAAAGGTGGGTCTTTCGCAGGTGAGATTTCCCATTTGACATTTTAACACCCCCCCACACACATACAATGAGAAGGAGACAGTAATCCAAGCAGCATCCTGAACCGACCAACCTCCTGTCTGGGAGAAAATTTTGCAGGGCAGTTTCCCCCGCCGGGTATGAGAGCCATTCTTTAAAATCTCATCTTTGGGCAAAGGGGGGACCCGATTTAGTGCAATGAGGGTGCACTTTCCCTCCACTGATGGGAGTTGCGCACACAACATTATTTCTTTCTTCCGTCCCAGTAATAAATGGAGGCCAGGCCTTTCGCGTGGCCACTGAGCAACAGCCTAGGATGGGAGGGGGATGTGACTTCCACTTAAGCCAAGATCTAGCCAGGACCGGTCCCAAAGGACAGAGATCCCTGCTGCAGAACCCTCTTGGCAATTTTGCAGAGGGTTCAGGAACCTTCTCTACAACGGACCACGCCTCTTCTGGCTACCTGAGAAGAGGGGGTGGCTAGGCGACTCCTCAGCAGCCAGGATGCTCGATGGAAACTTGCCGACAAGCCTCCACGTGGAATCGTGGCTTACGGAGGAACCCCGATTGAAAAGAACGGTATCCCAGCAGCCCTGAAGCTCCCATGGGCGACCAGGGGGAAACCCCACCCGGCCCGGGATGCCTGCACTGAGTCACACCCGCCAAGCGATGACAACGTGGAAGGAAGACGTCTCCAAGCCTCTGCAGGAAGGCATCGCGCGATGTCTTGGACGCCGGGGCTTGGCGCAGAGGCTGCCCCTCACACACGGGATCCAGACCCGGTGGCAGTGGGGGCCGTGGGGAAGGTTTTCCGCGGGAAACACCACGCCGGGTGCCACGGCGGTAGCTCAAAGCGAGGTTTACTTTGTCAGGACCGCAAGCGCCACGGCAAACCCGAGACAATTCGCTTAGGGTCCTCCTGCCCCCGACGGGACCTCCGCCGAGGGACCCCTGGTGGGGGTCTTCCATCTTGCCCCCGTGGGGCTGCTACTTCTTCTTCTTGCCTTTCTTCTTCAGAGAGCCCGGCCACGGGAAGCCACGGAACTCCAGGCAGGCGGCGGCATTGTGGGCGATGTAGTAGAGGTTCAGCATGGCCGCTGGGCTCAGAATATCCACCTCCACGACGGCCTTCTTGGATTTCTTGCCACCTTTGCCTTTGCCTTTCCCCGAGCCCTTGCCTTTGCTCTTGCCTCCCTGTGGGGCACAAAAACACACAAGCACACACAAAACCCACCATTTTGTAGGGCAGAACGAAGGGGGCCTGATAATGGAGAGCCAGTTTTCTGCAGGTGTCAAGGAGCTGGCTTAGAAACTAGGAGACGGTGAGTTCTAGTCCTGCCTTAAGCAGGAAAGCTGGCTGGGTGACTTTGGGCCAATCACCAGGAGACGGTGAGTTCTAGTCCCGCCTCAGGAATGAAAGCCATCTGGGTGATTTTGGGCCAATCACCAGGAGACTGGAGTTCTAGTCCCGCCTCAGGAATGAAAGCCATCTGGGTGGCTTTGGGCCAATCACCAGGAGACTGTGAGTTCTAGTCCCGCCTTAAGCATCAAAGCCATCTGGGTGATTTTGGGCCAATCACCAGGAGACTGGGAGTTCTAGTCCCGCCTCAGGAATGAAAGCCATCTGGGTGATTTTGGGCCAATCACCAGGAGACTGGAGTTCTAGTCCCGCCTCAGGAATGAAAGCCATCTGGGTGGCTTTGGGCCAATCACCAGGAGACTGTGAGTTCTAGTCCCGCCTTAAGCATCAAAGCCATCTGGGTGATTTGGGGCCAATCACAAGGAGACAGGGAGTTCTAGTCCCGCCTTAGGCAGGAAAGCTGGCTGGGTGACTTTGGGCCAATCACCAGGAGACAAGGAGTTCTAGTTCCGCCTTAGGCATGAGAGCCAATGAGAAACTTTCAGCCAATCATCAGGAGACAATGAGTTCTAGTCCTGCCGTAGCTATGGAATTTGGCTGGGTGACTTTGGGCCAATCACCAGGAGACGGTGAATTCTAGTTCTGCCTTAGGCATGAGAGCCAATGGGGGAACTTTGGGCCAATCAGGAGATGATGAGTTCTAGTCCTGCCTTAGAGATGAAAGCTGGTGGGTTTACTTTGGGCCAGTCCCTCTCAACCCAGCCCACCTCACAGGGTTGTTGTGGGTTAAATAGGAAGGAGGAGGAGGACTCTTCTGTATGCTCACTGCCTCAAGTTCTAAAGTAATGAAGGCCGGATCACAATCAAATAAATAAAAGTACATAACCCCTTTTGCGACCTTCCAGCAAGCCAGATTCACTTCACAACTGTGTGACTCACTTAACAACGGCAGTCATTCCCTTAACTGTGGCAAGGAAGGTCGTAAACATGGGACAAAACTCACTTAACGATTGTCTCGCTTAGGCACAGAAATTTCGGGCCTCAGCTGTGGTCGTAAGTTAAGGACTACCTACAGGCTGGGCTCTCCCTCCCTCTGTGGCCAGAAAAAGGCAAATCTGATCTACCTGTTCCACAGGTGAAGCTCAGGGAGGTATACGTTACCATGGTGTCATCCTTTTATGCAGGTGACCTGAGGAGCATCGTGTCCCCTTTCAAACCAAGATCCCTGGATCGGATTCCAAACTCAGTTTATCTCCCTTGTTCTGTTAAGGAAAACAAACACACACAAAAGAAAGCCGGTTAAGGCCCCTTTACACGGTAGAAAATTAAAGTATAGAAAATTAAAGTATTAAATTTCTGATAAAGAGATAAACTGCAGGCTGCACCCGGCACAACATCATTTGTTTTCTGCAGAATAATGGGCCGTCAATCAAATCTTTATTATAAGGCCAGCAGCGTAACAAGGGAAACATGCAAACAATCATTTCAAAAGCTAAATAAAATGCACAAAAATAAAAAAACAAAAACAAAAACCACCATTTGAAAAGCCTAAACCAGGGCTCCCCAAAAGCTTGGTCGCTTTAAGACTGGTGGACTTCAACTCCCAGAATTCCTCAGATGGTCTAACTTGGCTGCTTTAAGACTGGTGGACTTCAACTCCCAGAATTCCTCAGATGGTCTAACTTGGTCACTTTAAGACTGGTGGACTTCAACTCCCACTGGGAATTCTGGGAGTTGAAGTCCACAAGTCTTCAAACAGCCAAGTTTGGGGACCCCTGGACTAAATTGTACAGATAGGGGTAATCCTCCACTTAACGACCGCAATTGAGATTCAACATTTCCATCGCTAAGTGAAACAGTTGAAGTTTGTCTCATTTTATAACCTCGCTGGCCACCATCGTTAAGCAGAGCTCTGCGATTATTCAGTAAGCAACATGGTCATTAAGTGACTCTGGCTTTCCCCACCGTTGCCAGGTCGCCAAAGGGGGAATCACGTGACCCCAGGGACGCTGCAATGGTCATGTGTGCGAAAAACACTCCTAGCTCACTATTTTCAGTGCTGTTGTAACTTTGGTCACTAAACAGACCGTTTAGTGGAGGAAGTAGTAATAATTACTGTTCAATGGAACAGGAGTTTTGTCCCTTGGTTGCAATTTACCGTGTTGTTTCTAATTTAAACTCCCCCCCCCCAAAGTTTAAAGAGAAGGCCCAGTTGGACTTACTGCTTAAGGCAGAAAATCTGGGAGATGGTGAGTTCAAGTCCCGCCTTAGGCATGAAAGTCAACTGGGTGGCCAGTCACTCTTTTTCAGCCAAACCTACCTCACAGGGTTGTTGTGGAGGGGGAAGGAGTAGTTAAAGGCAGAGGGAAGGAGGGAGGGAATGCACCAAAAGAAGGAAGGAAGGAAAGAAGAGAGGAAAGGACAGAGGGGAGGGAGGGAGGAAAGGAAGGAAAGAAAATTGGAAAGGAAGGGAGAAAAAGAAAGGAAATAGGGAGTGAAGAAAGGAAACAAGAGGGAAAAGGAAAACAAAGGGAGGAAAGGAAGGAAATAGGGAGTGAAGGAAGGAAATGAGGAAAGAAAGGAAGGAAAAGGAAGGAGGGAAAGGAAGAGAGGAAATAGGAAGCAAAGGAAGGA